TATTTCTATTGGCTGACTGCTACCAGTCTAGGTACAGTTAACCCCTTAGTCCCCAGGCTGCTGCCCATCCCTCATGGTCATGACACTGGGCAAGTGGCTAATTACGTCTTGATTTAAACAAGAGCTTTTCCTATCCTGCACCATCTGACCCTCTTGTGGATCCTCCAGTGAAGCCACGGTGCTGACTATACTACAATCACAGTTATTTCTATAACAGGTGTTGTAATGAAGGGGTCATGCCAGGATTGGATCCAAGGGGAAATTAGGGCTCTCGTCCTAATAAAAGCCCCCTTTAAAGAGATGAATTTTTCTCTGAAATAACATTGCCTTAGAAATCCTAAATAAATCAGGGATTATAGAATCCTAGGGCTGGAAGAGACCTCTGCTGGTCACTGAGTCCAGCCCCCTGCCCGAAGCAGGACCAACCCAACTAAATCATCTCAGCCAGGGCTTTGTCAAGCCAGGACTTAAAAACCTCTAGGGATGGAGATTTCCCCACCTCCCTAGGGAGCCCATCCCAGTGCTTCCCCACCCTCCTAGGGAAACAGTTTTTCCTAATCTCCAACCTAGATCTCCCCCAGTGTAACTTGAGACCATCGCTCCTTGTTCTGCCATCCATCACTACTGAGAACAGCCTCTCTTCATCCTCATTGGAGCCTCCCTTCAGGAAGTTGAATCCCACCTGGAAACAGGGCTGGCCCGAGCCATTTTGGCATGCCGGACCGCCCCCAGGTGCACGACACATGTGCGGGCCCGACCCCCTGGGGGCATGGGCCCACCCCCGGGGTGCATGGCACATGCGCTGCCCAGCCCGGCCACCACTGCTGGCGCTGCAGGGCCCCGCGGCCATGGGGGGAAGGGCGCTGCTGGCTGGCGCCATGGGGATGGGGGGGGGCTGCCATCAGTTGCCCCCCATTGGTTGGTGCCCTGGGCAGCTGCCTGGCTCGCCCACCCCTTAGTCCGGCCCTGCCTGGAAAAGCATCAAAAACACTAGGAAAACCTCATGGCTTTGTCTAGACTGGCAAGTTTTTCCGCAAAAAGCAGAAAAAGTTGCCAGCTGTCTACACTGGCCACTCGAATTTCCGCAAGAGCACTGACGATCTCATGCAAGAAATCAGTGCTTCTTGCGGAAATACTATGCTGCTCCCGTTCAGGCAAAAGTCCCTTTTGCGCAAAAGGGCCAGTGTAGACAGCTCAGATTTGTTTTGCGCAAAAAAGCCCCGATCGTGAAAATGGCGATCGGGGCT